ACAATAAGCAACGCCTACTGGCCTTATCCTTATCTTTCTATATGGAACTGGGTGTGCTAATTGTGCAGCTCTGAGCACACCCACGGCTTAGATCCCCACAATAGTGTTAAGGTTAACGGTAGGGTTACAGTTAAAATTAGGGTTACAATCTAGGTTTACATGAGGTTTAGTTGTACTAATAGAACACAGAAGCGCAGGGCCGCATTTATTGCGTGGGCGGGGCAGACGTAAATTATGGGTACTTTTAGTGGATTATATAATCAAATAACACTCGTTGACCTAGTCCGGAATACTGCTTGTTTCCATTTAGGCTTCTGCGCATTAGTAAATGAAAGAAAACAAAATCGGTCTGTACTAAAAGAGTGTCCTTTTCTGAACACCGTAACCTCTCTTACCAACCACCCTATGAATTTACGAACTTTGATCCGCTTCGCAGATCACAGAAGAAATTATTTTTTCGATAGTATTGCCGGCAAAGGAAAGGGAAACTGGAGTGGTCGTGGCTGGTTTACTAGCCGTCGACAGCCAGTCATACCCAGACCCCAGTGGTGCACGACCTGAGCCTCGAACTCGCGACACTCTGATCAGAGTCTAACACTTTAACCATTGAGTCATGTCCCTCCGGTTTAACTGGAGACAATTTGACACTCGTTGATGAACGTTCACCAACCACCATAGAAAAAGTGAGTTTGAACATTTTGCTTGAATAGTTGATGGTCGCACAATAGTGCAGAACCTCTCAAACAACCGGGGTTGTCACTAGGAGACATCCAAGTAACACAAACTGGTCACAGCATAAGAAACACAGCTCACAACTAGACTTGCTTCCTATTAAACGTCCTCACGCGCTACAATATAATTTCACAGTTGACTTTATAAATTTGACTTACGAAAGGCCATTTTGTGCAGCCTCCGCCATTAATTTCTTCTTCTCTTCCTCCTCTTCCAGTTTCGCTTTCGCGCTCGCCTGCCGTTCAACTTCATTCTGCCGCTCCAGCTCTTGGTGCTTCCTCAGTTCAGCCTGCACGTCGGCTACGTTAGCCGTTAGTTTGGCCAGAGAATCCTCGATGTCGCTGTATTTGATCTTGTCAAAGTTTTTCAGTTGACGCTGCAGTTGCGCGATCTCAAAGGAGG